TACACACACACACACACACACACACACACACACACACACACACACACACACACACACACACACACACACACACACACACACACACACACACACACACAGACACACACACACACACACACACACACACACACACACACACACACACACACACACACACACACACACACACACACACACACACACACACACACACACACTCTCACACACTCACACACACTCACACACCTCACACACCCAATTTTAAGAGCAACTTCCAACTTGTCATCGACCACCAACAAAAAAAAAAAAAAAAGGAAGAGAACGCTGGCATATCTCTGGACTCCTCCCAAGTGTGGGTGGCAGAGGAGGGGCGATCTGTGGAACGAGGCGGTGTTATATGGTTACATGGTTGAACTTGCTTGGAGGAAGCGTGGTTACGACGACGATTGCAAAGCTGGCTCGTTGGGAACAGATGTGAGCGCAACGGACAATCGGTGGCGGTTCCACTAGAGCCCAAACTGCTCGAGCGCTTCGTGTCTGTGGGCGCGAGCGAGCTCAACGGGCGACAAGAGACGCCGGCGGCTGGTTGGTCATATCTGAACTGGGGCAGCCAAGGTCTGCTAAGATCTTGCCCCGCTGGGACGCGTGGTGACGTGCTGTTGTCACCAAACCCAGCGTCATGACGCACGCCTCCGATTCCGCGAGCCTGGTCGCAGCAACAGACACCGAGGGTTGCATTGCCTTCTTCGATGCACTGCCCAGCAGCTTTGAGGCCTACTACGACACCATGCGTGCCATGCAGATTGATGGCCAAACCCTGTTGGAGACAGAGCTGGACGACCTCTTCACGCAGCTCAGCATTACTTCCCTCGGTCACAAGCACCTCATTCGAAAGCATCTCGGCCCGTTGCAACAGCGTCACCGCGAGACTCCTCCCATCCAGGCCCCAGCGTCCACCGACAGTCACCCAAACGCCGATAACTCATCTGCATCACTTGCCTCCAAGCCAGCATCCGAACCTGACAAAGGCGACGACGAAACATCATTATCCAATGCAGCCCCAATCGCCGTAGAACCTAATCCAACCTCGACGCACTCGCACCAAGATCCGGGTGTTGCAGAAATTGCCGCAAACGTAAACGATAATACAAGTGGCCGAGAGCGCCAAAACACAGCGGCAGACGTTGGTTTGCGACGAACGCGCGGCACCTCCATGCTACCCGATGCTGCAGCCGATCTCGTTGCTGGACGGCGCCAATCAGGCATGCCGGTACGTGGCGTTGTGACCTTACATATCTGTAGATGGTGCCATATTGTTCAGCGTGGCACTGTCCTCATTTGCTCTCATGTTGATCATGTCCGACTGGCTATCAATGTTGCCCATAAAACACTAATCTGCGCGCTCTCTTCTTTTGGGTATGATGCAGGTTGCACCACGAAAGACAATGTCTCGGAGCGAGTTTGATCAGATGCTGGATTCCAACTTGCGCAGCACCGTGGTGGCTGCTGAACCCGAGGCTTCACCCGAAGGAGCAACCGATACTGCACCCGGTGACACTGGGGTGCAAGCTTTGATGCTCTCTCGCCGCCCACTTCATGACATGGCGAGCTTGGTGCAGACGGCTCCGGAGACGAGTCAGTGGTATATTCTGGCGGACGGCTTCTTGGACCGGGTGCGCCCTGGTTTGATGCGCAAGCCACGCTATGATTATTTTATGCTTCGCATTGCTCCAGGCGCCATGGGGTTGCGCTTGGAGCGGTTTGAGGGTCAAAGCTTTGCCGAAGCCTTGACGTTGACGGTGTGTCCGGGTGCAACTTGATTCGCACAAACCTGCTCCCTCGGCAACATCGCCTGGACGTTGAATTCAATTGTTCCTCTTGCCCTGTCCTGTTGCCTTGTCTTCCCTTTGACTCCTCCCTGTCAATGATATGTTTGTTCTCTCTTGTCCCGAGCCGTGCATCACCTTGGCTTTATCGACTTGTCCTGATAGGGTTTGTCCAAAGTCAAGCCCACGCGCAAGAACAATGAATTTGAGGTTGAGGTCAAGGGTGATGCGGGGGCCTTGCATCCCGTCGTCTTGGCTACCCAACATGATCACAAGGCTGCGCAAGCGTAAGTGACTGATTTGCCCGGGTGGGCAACGTTGTCTGGTTGAATGTTTGCGTGGCAGCTCACGGCACCCAATGTCCCCTCTCATGAATCGGGCCTGGCCTTGCTTAAACCAGTTGGGTGGTAGCTCTTCAACGAGGGACCATGGCCGTTGCTAGCTTGGACCTTAGCCTGGTGGATGAGGTGGGTCGCTTAAATGCGTCCAAAGATATCACCGCCTCCAATCTGCCCGCCAGCCCAAGCGGGGAAGGCGCAGCGCCACCAAGTGCAGGCACTGTAGCCACGCCCGCTTCAGGCGATGAAACTGGTGGAGATCGATACGGAGCTCCCGACCTGGCTGAGCTGACACGGCCCGCGACCCTGAAAGACGATGCCTCGGCAGCTCGGCAAAAGAATGCCCTCATGAACACCACATACATGGCCAACGTTCGCTCCAAGTTTCACTTTCTTGATGATGTTGAGTAGCAGGCGCCGTCTTAGACATGAGGAGCAAGTGCCTCTTCATCACGATTGGCTTGCAGGTGGCGACATGTGCGCTCTTGAAAATTTTATCATTATTCAATGCAACGGGTCTTTGAGGCGAATGCATGTCCGAGCACTAAAACCTTGCCAGCTGGAGCGATGACTTGTCACTCTTTAAGGACGAACGCGTGTCAGACACCGGGTCTAATTATTCAGAGTTCATACCACTCAGTATGATATAAATGCAAGTGCACGTGCGAGATGGCACTATGGCGACTGTTGTTCTTGGGCTAGCATGTCGAGCACGAGGCGTGCTGCGTACACATCTTCAATGCCCATGCCGAGAGACTTGAAAAAAGTCGGTTCACTGCGCAATGCGCTGGTATCCGTACCCACAAGCTCGCCCAGCTCTCGGGTCACCTGGCAAATGTCGCATGAGAACACAAAACGAAAGGGAGAATCGAAATCATGTAGGGCACGGGGCACACACGCAAAGCGACGAGGCGAGAATCACGAACCGCGGGTTGATATTGGATAATGTCACCGGCTTCCTTCCAAGCGCCATCTTGGCTATCAACAAAGACCTGACGTTCCAAGACGACCTCACGTTCCACCTGGCCCAATTCAAATGAACTGTGGAAAGAGCAAGCACGGTAGGGACAGGGCAAGGGCCGGGCAGGTAGGTGCGGCGCTATGATGCGTGTGTACACACCTCACACCAATCAGGACGACAGGCCCCGACGCTAATGACGTGTGCATCTGCTTTCAGGTTTTGGGAGCCTAGAACCGGGGCTGTTGAAGCAAGACGAAGCACAAGACAGGGACAGAGCGTTGGCTGGCTGTGTTCATCGAGATGACCAGTGGGCTTGGAGGCGTAGGGCCTGCAATTGTGGGCTGATGCTTGACTGACTTGGTGAAGAAGTGACGGTGACCACGACATCTGCTTGATCTAGGGCTTCTTCCAGCGTGTCTGTTGCGCGGACAGGAAAGCGGGAGTCGAGAAGGCAGGCTAGTGCCTGCAGCAATGCGCAATGCACCCAGTCATTGTGGACGTGAACAGTCTGGCAGGCGGGAGTCAAACGCACGCCAGGCATGCATTATTTTTTGATGATATGGTGTGGGGTGGATACGGACGTTGGCTTTGGTTCGGGAGCGGCCATGGATGCACACGTCTTGAAGATTGAGCGCGGTGCACAAGGCTTGGATGTGAGTTTGAGCTTGGACACCAGTGCCAATGATGGCGGCTTTGCGTGCTTTTAGTGGAGCCAGAAGCTGAGCCGAGACGGCAGAGCAAGCAGCTGTGCGCATGGCTGTAATTTCTTCGCCCTCGAGCATGGCGGTTAAGGCGCCGGTCTCTGTATCATACCTAACAACAAGGCCAAAGGGGTCAGGAGCAGGGGCAATTGTCGCCCAGCGTTGCCAAGCGGTGGTCCATCTGGCAGAACTGCCGCGCAGTCGATGATGCAGTCAAAGAGGGAATGAACGAACATCAAAATATGAGCCATGTGAGTGCGCAGGCTGCGGGCGGCATTTTCTGGGAAGAAGGAGACAATCTTGAGGCCGGCACCACTGGCGGGACTATTGAACAGCAGTTCAGGCGCGCAAACATCAGGCACAAGACCAAGCCGGTCATTGAACAGAAGCTCCAACGCCAGGCAAAGGCGGGACTTTTGGGGGCAACGTACGCAAATGCCGGCATGGATCCAATAAAGCCGTTATTGTCTGGTAGAATCAAGGCTTGCCGGGTGGGCTGCACAAGACGAGGTGAGGCAGAAGAACGGCCAAAGCGGAGCACGGGGGTGGGGCTGGGCTATCAGCCTGAGCCTGAGCCTTTCCAATGTTTGCTTTGCCGCTTTGCATCGTGGCGTACCTGCTGCACCGCGTCCGTCATGGCAAAGGCATGCAGAGCTTGGGCCATGGTGGGGATCAGGGCGTCGTACGTCAACACTTGCTGCACCTCACTCTCAGTCACATACTGAAACCCATGGCTCGAGAGCGATACAGTGCTCATCGCCCGCATTCCAGCGACGTTTGCCTGCCGCTTCGCCAACCCAAGCAGCTGCAGTCGCTGCAGTCGCTGCGCCGCCATCCGCATCATCATCATCATCAATGTTGCTGATGTGATCCAGTCGTCCGGTGTCAGTGAATCGTCGGGGCGATTGAGTAATCGGCAGCCGGCGAAAGCGGTCACGATAATAGATCTAATTGCCCGACATCTCACATTTGGTAACGTGGCTCGGAGCCATTAGAGACAGAGAGAGAGAGAGAGAGAGAGAGAGAGAGAGAGAGAGAGAGACAGAGAGAGAGAGAGAGAGAGAGAGAGAGAGAGAGAGAGAGAGAGAGAGAGAGAGAGAGAGAGAGAGAGAGAGAGAGAGAGAGACAGAGAGAGAGAGAGAGAGAGAGAGAGAGAGAGAGAGAGAGAGAGAGAGAGAGAGAGAGAGAGAGAGAGAGAGAGAGAGAGAGAGAGAAGCAACAAGTCTCGTTTTTTTTTGTTGTTTTGGGTTCGGTATCGCTTCCCTCTCCGCCCCTCTCTCTCTCTCTCTCCTCTCTCCTCCTCCTCCTCTTGTTCTCGCTTTCTGTGAGCCCTGCGATTGACAGCGGGACGGCGGGGTGGCAGGGGGTTGTAAGGTCATTCGGGCTGTGGTGTGCAGATGAGGGCGTTGATTTGATGGGCTCTTCTTTATCATGTGCATTTGGCTGAGTGTGTGTAGCTCAAACCTGCATTTGTGATGGGTGCTCGTGAAGGCCGATGCGGCAGCTCATGGTATTTTGCTTGAATGTCGATCGCGTTGTGCCGATCGCGTTGTGCACTCCAGGGTTAGGAAGGTTCCATTGGCTGCCTCAAGATCGTAGCGTGAGAGTGGGGCTCGAGCGCCTTGTTCTTGGCATCGGCCTCAGTTGTCAAAACAGCTTTCTCTTGGTCCCTCCCTGCCTGGCCTGGCTCGGGGTGGGGGACACCGAATCAACAACCTTGGTAGGAGCGCAACCTTTCTCTCCTGGATTGACCGCTCCAGCCATTGCCCAGCTGGTGATGAGGGGTTGCCATGCTTGCTTGTCCCGTCGCCACCTCTCGCCTTACCTCCTTTCCTTGCTTGAATATCATGCCTGGCGCATCAGACCATGGCGGCTCCACCAGCGACCCCACCGTCAGCCGATGAAGATGATTTAGATATCAGCATGGGGGCTGCCGGCGGGATCGAGCTTGGTAACTTTGCCGCTGCCTACATGGGGTCGGTCAGCGTCAAGCATCCCGAGGGTAGCGACGTTTGCGCCGATGCCATTCTTCGCATCAAAGTACGTCGCCCCAACACGCGCTCGCGGCGCCACCCCAATCACATGCCCCCGCTCCCGCCTAAACGTTTGATGGTGTGCTGTCTATAGGCCATGAAACATGCTCTGCGTCGCGTCCAGCTCGTTGTCACAGAGCGTGGTGTCTTTGTACTGGAGGGCAAAAGCGGCGTACGTTCGGCGGTGCTGCTCCTTTCCACAGCCGGTGCCCAAACATGCGTGGTCTCACCAACTCTTCTTGGTTTCAACAACGCGCGTGTTTTTTGTTTTTTTTTCGTCTGCCAAACATGATCAACACCACCAGGAGGCTATCAAATCAGCCTCTATTGGCAACGTCTCGTTTGTCTCGATCGACCCCGAAGACAAGAAGGTTTGGCGCTTCCGTCATCACACTTCTCTCGAGATGATGTAGCCCCCCTGCCTTACCGCCGACCGGAATCTGACCTGGCTCCGGCTGCCCCCCCAACGATAGCTCTTTGCCTACGTGACCTATGAGCCAGATATCAATCTGTACATGTGCCATGCCTTCCAGGTTGGCCCTCGCTGCATCAGGTCACAATCGCTTCTCTGTCCGGCAGCGCAAAACTTAATATCGTCTTCCCCCTTTGGATCATGTTCTGATAGGTCAAGAAGCAAGTTGATCGCATCCCAGAAGCCCTCAATGAAGCATTTATGCTTTACAGCAAACAGTTGGACAGCAAAAGACCGGGTCGAGCCGGCTCAAAGAAGAAAGCCCTGGCCAAAGCGGCGGCCATCAAGCGCGAAGAGCGCAAATCAATGAAAGCCGGTCTGTTTCCTCTCATGATCACAGTTTCTCCTTCCACAAGCACCCACCCCTCACTGTCAAACGATGGTTGATCGCTCGCAGTGGCTCTTGGTACCTACGAAGCTCGCTATCTGGGCTCCGTTGCCGTCAACGAGCCCCGCGGCAACGAGGTTGCCCTCGACGCTTACCAGCGTATCAAGGTGTGCATCCTTCTTCATTGCTCCTTTTGCTTCTTTGATCCTTTGCAAAGACATTTCATGCTCGATTCATTGCCTGACATTTGGCTCTGGGCATCAGACCCTCAATTCAGAAGCTCGTCCCGTCGACCTCTTGATCATGAGCACCAAGGTGGATGTGATTGAGAACAAATCAGACGTATGTTCCTCCTCGTGGTTGCTGGTTCACTGGCGCTTGCAAGTCACAAAACTCTCGTGTCCTGTCCCTTCTCGTGCTTTTTAGAACGTGATCAAGTCTATACCCGTCATGGAGATTTCTTTCACCGCTGTTCACCCCAAAGACAGCAAAATGATGCTTGTGATTACCAACGATGCGCGTTTGGGCCTCAAGTATTGCCATGCTTTTCAAAGTCGTCGTTCCAAGGGTGCCGAGATTCTTGAAATGATTGCGACTGCGTTCGCGGCTGCCCGGCAAGCCCTCGAAGAATCCCAGGGCAACCAGGATGTCATGCAAGAGCTCGGGGTGGTCGTTGGCATGGGCGCCCAATCCAACGGTTAGTTGACCTATTCATCACATCTTCCCCGATCATGACGCAATCGCATGCATCCCCCTTGTTCTGTGGGATGGCGTGATAGCTCTGCTCTCATTTGCTCGTTTTCCGTCCATGGCATCATCTGGCGGTCGGATCGGGCGTCGCATAGCTCTGGGTGTTTATGATGCCAAGTACATCGGCAGCGTGCCTGTGCCCGAGCTCAAGGGCAAGCCAGTCGTTGATCACGCGCTCCACGTGGCTCGCGTGAGTAAACTTTCACTTTGGTCACGCAGTCGATGACCTGGCCGTGCTGACTGACTCGATCTGGCTCGTGTCAATAGTCCATGAACAAGTATGCCGAAGGTGTCGTATTGACCATCTCAGAGGAAGGTGTTCGCACCATCGAAGGTTTAACCGGCGTAAGTCGCCACACGGACCCCTGTTTGCCGCCATGCTCAAACATGCAGCGCTTCTGACACAAGATGCTTTGGAATGCCTTTGCCCCTGCCTACAGGAAGTCATCACCTCCATTCTAATCAGCGATATTAGCTTTTGCACCACTGCGGGGTCCAAAAAGGAGGTCTTTGCCTTTATCAACAAGGACACCCGCCTTAAGCGCATCACATGTCATCTCTACGAGACGTTCAATGCTCATGACATCACCGCCGTCATTGGCCAAGCCTTCAAGGCATGCCAAGCCCGCGCCGGCAATCCGTTTGCACCCGTCAGCAACGAGCGTGAGACGGTGCGCGGTCCCCTCTTCGAGCACCAACTGCACCGCTCAGACCTCATTGCTGGCAAGCCCATTGGCGCTGGTCAATTCGGTCAAGTCTACTTGGCCAAATACAAGGGCAACCAGGTTGCCGTCAAAACAGTGCGCCAGGGAGCCTCAGCTGAAGACATTGGTGCGTTCAGCAGAGGCACGGGTTTGCCGTTGAGCCAATTGTTGATGCGTAGGCCTCCGCTCACCCACGCCTCATCCTTTTGCCGATGTGTCAATACAGCCGAGTTCACGGCGGAGAGCGAGGTTATGCTTGCCCTGCGCCATAATTGCCTTGTGCAGCTTCTTGGTGTTAGCATGCAACAGCGGCCATGGCTTTGTGTCATTGAGTTTATGAAGGTGCGTCAGATCACTGTGCCCCTTTTTTTTGTTTCAGAGCTTGGGCTCAACCTCTATCAGCGGGTGTTCTTACCTTCCCTTTGCGGCAACGCGCCCATAGTATGGTGATTTGCGCGAAGTCCTCAAAACTTGCAAGGAGAAGTCTCTCCGCCTGGCCTACCTCGAGCAGTTGGCCTTTGCCGTGCAAATTTCCCGTGGCATGGCATTTATCGCACAGCAGCGCTATGTTCACATGGATTTGGCTGCCCGAAAGTACGCCCTACTTTGATTTTCTTTTCCCCCTGTTTGTTGCAAACAGTCAGGTATCTTGTCTCACCTGTTGTTCTCCTTCGTTGCAGCGTGCTCATCAGCGAGGGCAACCGCTGCAAAGTGGCTGATTTCGGCCTGTGCGTAGATGCTTTGTACTTCTGCGCCTGTCGCTGGACTTGTACTCAAGCACACCAGCTCATTGTACGCAGCTCACCTTGAAATTTTGGGCTTTTTCCGTGTGTTCAATCTTCTTGTGCCCTTTGCGCGTCCTCCAGCACTCGTCGTTATGATCCCGGAAAGGACACCTACACGCTTCGCAAAACGGCCAAATTGCCCATTCGATGGATGGCCATTGAGGCCATGAAGACCAAGGTACGCATGTAGACGCCTCGCTATACCGCTAATGCCGAAGCGCATCAAATCACGACCTGGCACGAACTTTTTCTTGCACACATTGCCTCGCTACAGGTTTTTTCGGAAAAGTCGGATGTCTGGGTAAGTGCGTTGCGAGCTCAACAAAGCCCAGTTGGCAATCACTCGCTCACACGTCCACTTTGATGTTGCATAAATGCAGGCTTTTGGTGTGACGCTGCACGAGATCGCCGCCTATGGTGCACTGCCATATGCCGGCGTCAAGAATCGTGATGTCAGTAAGCACATTCTGGACGGCAATCGCCTTGCAAAGCCCGAAGACGGCATGCAGGATGACTTTTTTGCCCTCGCCGAATCTTGTTGGCAAGACGTGAGTATCGCTTGCGAATGATGGAGGGAGATAGTCAGCGCCGCGGTTAATGTAAAACCTCACGACTTCTCGACCGCCTCGTTTGTTTGACAGGACCCTGCGGTGCGGCCCACGTTTAAAGAGGCCACCAAATCCCTGGAGGGATTCGCTGTTAAAGCACGCGCCAACTCTCCCACCATCCGTGATATCGGCGCCGTGCTGGCCAGCATGTAAAGGCCAGCAAGCCGCTGGTCATGTCCATTTTTTGGTTTAATTTGTTTTGGGTTCTATTCTTCACTCGACACACTCGTTTGCGTTCTTCTTTCTTTCTTTCTTTCTGTTTTTCTTTTTGAGTTTTGGTTGCTTGCTCTGTGCGTGCGTGTCGTTGTTGTACCCGAATTCTTGTTCATCGCGCCCGATAGTCGAAACCAAAGACATGATTCTGCTGATTGTGTCACCCCGCCACGCTCGCGGAGGCTCAAATTCGTGTTTCGTTCGCGTTTCTGGCCCTTCTGCCTCTTGTAGTGTGCTCTGGTTGTTTTTCTTTAAACGCTGGCATTTTGAGTAGTTGCATACTCTATTTTCTCTACTTGTGTGACGAATTGTTGGCTTGCTTTCTCAGCGTGGCCCATGTGCGTCGCAAGTTCGGCGTTATGGACCTCCATAAAGTCGGCAAGTTGATCATCTTTTGAATTTGGCAGTCCCGACAAGGCTACCTGACCCGACCCGAGAGCTTGGCAAGTTTAAATAATGACAGAATCGCGTTTGGCGGAAACACCATGCACTATCAGTTTGCATTCCTGATAAATACTCTATTCCTGCCCAAAGGGCAGGTCAGATCTCGCTGAGGCGAAGGACCCTAAAGGTATTTTATTTGTTTGATCACTGCACTCGACTGCCAGTCCAGATGAGTGCGGTCATGGCCAGCCTACGTGCATATAAAGAGAGCCAAGTCGTGAGTCGTCAGTTGGTTGCCAGGAGCTCGTTCAGAAGCGGCATATGGCGCAAGTCGGTCTGGTGTGCTTGCAGCTCGCGAAATGCTGATTTGTTGATGATCTCTTGCACCATCGCCAACGTGACGGTGGCTTGGCCTTGTTGCAATATGTCTGTCCACAGCATGCCCAAGAGATGGTCCAAGGCCTCAGCCACCAGGCCTGGCTGACGATACACACCGTCTCGCACGCCTGCTACCACAACCTCACACAGCAAACATAACAGGGCGCGCTCAGCGCTATCCCCGGCCTGCAGCTTGGTGGACAGTTGGTCATAAAACTCGTCGCTCAAGACATGTTCATAGTTCCAGGCAAACTCAGACATTTGTACTAGGGTGATGAGGGTACTCAGGCACGCAGGGTGGTCAACGCTGCGAGTCAGCAGGGCTGGTGCGGCTACGCTGCGCACCTGGCCCATGAATGCGCTGACAGCTTGTGTCAGCTCGGGAGTGGCCAGCAACGCTTGGTGTAAGTTTTCAGCAACCCCCAGCTCGGCTGCCGAACACGAAGCGCGAGCAAAGGTAGCAGCTGAGAGCAAAGCTAGGTGATCGATGCGATCTGTCCAGGATGACTGAGCCAAGGTGGCTGGAACGCGTGTGAGCCATTGCGCCAGCCACGCTGGTTGGGCGGCGTGTACGCTCAGGAGCACCATGGTACGATCCAAATCAGTCCGCGTGGAGACCAAGGCATCTCTGATCAAGGCCAAGGTGGCTGCGCGCAACTTTTGGGCGTCCGGGTTGCCACGACGCTCTGCCAGCGCGACGGCGTGTAGCAGGATGCGCAAGCAGCGCGGCGGAAGTTTTAGCCAGCTGGACCACGTCTTGGCAGTCACGCATTTGCAGGCCATAAAGTCGACGAGGTCAAGCAATTGTGCACGGCGGTTGCAGGCGTCAACCAGGGCCAGCAGGGCTTGAGCAGAACGACGCTCTTGGCGCCCAAACGCTTGTATATCATGACTGCTGTTATTGACAACTTCAAGCAGCCGGCTGGCAAACAGAAGCAACTGGTCATCACTCGGGTTGCAGGCGGCAAGGGTTTGCGCCAGCTGTTTAGGTTGATAGGTGTCGCTTCGGTGCAACCGCCCTAGGTGCTGCTTGACCAGCTTTTCCCAAGATTGCTTTGGGCTAGGTGCGGCAGCTGCTCCGGGCGCTGTCAGTCCTGTTGAGGCGAGCGTGCTGCGCGGGGCAACTCTGGTTGTGGGTGGGGAAGCCACCCGACGAGATGCGTTGCGAAGAAGCGAACCGAGAGTGTCCACGGAGCCATCTGCAAAAACAATAGGTGCCCGAAGGGTCAGACCTTGTCTCAAGGGGCTTGCAGATGAACGAGCAGCGGGGAGCACGGAGGTTGTCGTGATCTTACCGCGAACGAGGGGGATATCGTCGAGGCGCGCAGGAAACAGGTGCTTCTTGGGCAGGTCAAACTGTGAGGAGGCATCGCCGCTCGGCTCAAAAGCCCTCGGGTGAGCCAACGGGCTTGGGATTGCTGGGGGAGCATGTTTTGGGCGCTTCGGTGGCGGGGCATCAGACGCATTGGTTGCTTGAGAGCCAGGTGCGTCAGGGGCCGGCGCTGATCCTGACTTGCGTCGAGTGGGAGGCTCTGCTAGAGGTGGAGAAGTGGTGGACCAGTTGGGCGTGGAGTCCAGGCTGAGGGGGCTATTGGCGCCAGTCTGGTCCGATGCGGCATCAGACCAGGCTCGAGTTTCTGGTTCTGTTGAGTTGGCGGGAGAAGGTGGAGTCGGGGGAGGGCTTAATTTGGGTTGTGACTGCGACTGGGGCTGAGAGTGGGATGAAGACGAGTCTCGTGAAGAGCCTGCTGGTGTCGTCGACGTAGCTTCAGACGGCCGCCTAGACTGGCTGGTGGATTGGGCACCCCCCTTGATGCCACCCTTGGGGTCGGGCGTGGCAGCGGCACGCTGTTTGACAGCCTGCCGATCCTTGGCAAGGGGTGTTGTCTTGTGGTCTTTGTGACGGGCAATGGTGATTTCATAAGCAGACACGTTGTGCTTGTGTAGGAGGGCCTCGAGGCGCATTAATCGTGTCTCAAGAGCAGCGTTTTCTTGCCGGGCTTCGGTCAGCTGCTGCTGCTTGGCGGTGAGCTCAGCCGTAAGGGTCTCGACACGACTGCTTAAAGTCTTGACGGCTTTGGCATCAGCAAGTGCATCGAGCATGCTCGTGGCGCTCGTGGCTTTGGGGTTCAAGTGCTTCGGCGCATCTGTCTGCAGGGCCACGGTTCGTTGATTCGAGGCACGCGAGCGATGGGCCTCCGCAAGTTCGCGGCGAAGCTCGGACAAGAGCTGTTTGGTGGCCTTGAGGTCCGTTTGGGCTTTGTCTCGCTGTTGGCGAGCCGATTCGCTGGACCGACGTAGAGCCTCGAGCTTTTTGTCCCGTTCCGCGTGCTCATCCTGGAGGGCAGCTTGCAGCTGTTCGGCACTGGCACGGCTGGCATCGCGTTCGATTCGGCAAGTATCCAGTTCCTTTTCAATCCGGGTCAACTGGGCTTGTAGTGCTGCAGTCTCTGCAGGCGAGCTAGTGGCGGTGTGTGGGGTAGCTGTTAGGGCAGGGGGCGCGGTCGTCACGGGTCCGGCAGTCTGAGAAGTGTTCGCCGAGGCCTGGCGGAGCTGGAGACGCAGGGAATCGGCGTCACGACGGTAGCGCAGGCATTCCTTGTCCTTGGCGTTGAGTTGGTCTTGGATGCGCTTCTGTTGTGTTTGACTATATGCACCGGGGACAAAGATCGTGGGTGTGAGAGAAGCAAGGCGGGTGTTCACAGAGGAGTGTGTTCAGCACGAAAAGAGCCAGTACATGTGGAAATTGGGGGATCGGAGAAGCGTTTGGTACGGGCGAGAACAAACCTTTCTTCCAGGCGTGATTGCAGGAGCTTGGCGCGTTCTAGCACGAGCTTGACCTTGTCACTCTTTGTCTGCAGCACCTGTATTTGCTCACGGAGCTGTGCTTGTTCCTACACGGCAGATGCAACCAGGCAAAGGGACCAAGGGGCGTCAACGGCAGCGAGGTGACAGGCGATGCAAGAGGGTGAGAGGTTTTGAGGGACAGGGAACTTACGGAGCGCAACTGATCACAAGAGGTGCAGGGGACAATAATGTCGTCCAGATTGAGAAGCGTGGACGCGTCACCCAGATCCAGCTGATATGAAAGCGGGTTGGAGTTGGTCGTGGTGGCCACGGTGCTGCTGAGTTGAGAGTCTCCGAGCGTCAACGGGGCGGCGGTGGCGGCATCCGACGGAGTGGGCGTGCCGGGAGTCTCACTCATGATGACAGTGAGAAGAGGTTAAGCACCTGGGCAGGGTTGACCGTTGCTCCTGAGACCGCACATGGGCTAGCAAAGGGTGGGCCAGAGCGCTCAAGCCCGTCTTGTGGCGAGCATGTCGGCAGCCAGGTTCAAAGTTTACAAATCCAGACGGCCTTGGCTGCTACCAAGGCCCTCTCTGACAGCGACGCTTTAGACCCAGCCCTGCTCATCAAACTGAATGAGTCGCAAAGAAGAGCAAAGGCCGGGGCAGACAGCAACGACAGCAGCAGCACCAGCAGCACCAGCAGCACCACCAGCAGCAGCAGCAGCAGCAGCAGCAGAAGTCGCCGTCAAGTGTCACGAGAAAAAAAAAAAACGATCGGCAACGTGTAAAAGCATGTGACGCCTTTAGCCGGTATTTCATCAAACATTGTTTAGTTCTCAACACGTGTTGTAACCAAAAAGACCTCTCCTTTTTCCCTTGCCGTATGGTCGAGTCGTATGGATGGTGTTGTGGTGGAATTTGCAGATGGTGGAGATGAGCCTGGATCCGGCGAGCAGGTTGCTGCAGCTCAACCGGCACTTGATGACGCCCCAATGCCCAACACGATCGGGACACTCGTACAGCCAGCCCACCACACACACCACACACCCAACACACACAACACGACGCTTGTGATCGACTTCGGATGTAAAAACTACACACACTACACATTGTGTGTGGCTTTGTTTGTGTTTCAGTGCATCAAGCTTGGCCATACTCTCTTGGTTTATAAAGGGCATGTGGGTCTCTCTCTGATTTGGTATAACGCTTTGTACGTCCCTCTGGATGTGGCTTGATGATGGTTGTGTTTTTTCTTCGCTTTTATCTTCATCTCTGAGTTTGACGCTTATGTTCATACACTCTCTCGACTTCTCCATTTATCTCTCTCTCTCTCTCTCTCTCTCTCTCTGTTAGCTCCGCCCCCTTTGACTGGCGCAGTCAGTGGTAGTACGCCGACGCCGACGCCGACGCCGACGCTTGGTTCGTCTTCTTCCGTCGTCGCCGTTGCCTGGCTGTTCTTGTGAGGCTGGAGCTGGCGGGCCTTGGATGACCCGTCATCCTTCTTCTTCCTGGGTTGTGGCTGGAAAAGGTCATCCTGCGACGTGGGCTTTGCCTCTCCATCTCGCTCTCCCCCCCCAAAAGACAGCCGTGTCCGGGCTGGTCTTCACCGTGACCTCGGTGCCTGACTGCTCTGTTGCGGGCTGCTATATAGGAAGCTTGTTGTAGTGCCATCAGCAGGCGGCCGAATCTGGTAAACATGGGTAACGCTCAGTCTCTTGAGGCCGCTCTTGATGGCGTTGATCTCGGCACGGAGATTGATAGCTTCAACGTCAAATATGTTGGCTCCGTCCCCGTCAAGGCTGGAACCGGCAACGACGTGTGCCGTAACGCCGTGGAACGTCTCCGCTCGCTCCACCTCAAGGAAAAACCCATTCATCTCAAGGTATCCGTGCCTGCCCTCCCCCCTGCCTTCCCCTTTTTTGACGGCGACTTTGACCCACGCTGACTCAATCTTCTGCGACTGTCATCTGCATCGCCTGTTCTAGGTCACCACGCTTGGTTTGTATCTGATTGACGCCAAGACCTGCGACGTGGTCAAGGAGGTCAATATTGAAGAAGTCTCGTTTGTGGCTCAAGACGCTTACGATCAACAACTGGTAGGCATTTATCCCCTTGACGGCTTTTCATCTTCTTTTGTGCGCCCGCACTCACGCTGCCATTCCGTTGCGCCCATTCACACGAGCAGGTCTCTTTTTTTGAAAACGACAAGTCGATGCGTCTCATCACCTGTCACACAGTTCGTATCGCGCGCGATGGACATGCCATCCCCGTTGCCATCAACGAAGCCTTCAAAGCTCTCAAGGGGGAGATCACCGTCGAGCCCAAGCCAGGTGTGTGTGTGTGTGTGTGTGTGTGTGTGTGTGTGTGTGTGTTGCTGCGTTTTTGCTCGGCCACTCGCGCGTGTCGCCATTCTGCTTTCTCTCGCAAAGACATGCGCATTGCCTGCTCTCACATGCCCAACCCCTTGATCCCCGTCTGGTGCACACCCATTCTCTCAAAGGCAAGAGCAAGCGTCGCAAGTCCACGTCCAAGAAGGACGCTCTGAAACAATCGACCGCCAAGTCGACTACGCTGGAAAAGGGCAACCTGCAACAGTCCTACTCGGTCAAACTGATCGGCATTGTCAATGTCAGCAGTCCCAAGGGGGATGAAGTCATCTTGGAAGCTGCTTCCCGCATTCGCAAGCTTAACAGCAAACCCATGGAGGTCAACCTGAACATTTATGACAAGGCCTTTGCCCTGGAATCCTCAAAGCACGAGCTGCCCTTGCAGATCTGCCACATTCGCGAAATTAGCTTTGCCAAGCGCCTCGAGGACGATACACCCCCTCTTTTCACCTACATTATCCATGATCGTCGCCTGGATAAGATGAGCTGTACCGCGGTTACCCTGCCAGAGAATCTAGCAGACGATCAACCTTCCATTCGTCGCAGCATCGACGCCGCCCAAAAGGCCTTTGTGGCTGAAATCAAGGCCAAGGAACAAGAGAAGGCCATGCAAGCCATCCTCGACGGCCAGTCGGCTGAACAGGTCGATTCAAACAAACTCGCCAAGCAAGCTGACATGACAAGTGGTTCGTTCGTTCCCAGGCTATGGTGTACCCTGTTTACCACTTGTTGCCCTCTTTTTCCGTGACCTTGTTGTGATGATTTAGGTGCCATCATGGGCGTCTTTGAAGCCACCTACCTGGGCGCAATTGTCGTCGATCAACTCAAGGGCATCGACGTGGTGCAAAACGCGGCCAACCAGGCCCTCAAGCTCAAGGCTGCGCCTCAGGGCGTGTTTGTGCATGTTGCGACTGAGGGTATCAAGATTTTCGAATCCCTTTCCCACGAGGTCCGAGAGGCCTTGCTGTGCCGTTGTTCTACCCTCCCGTCGTACTGTGACGCTTGACCTCTGACTTTCCTGCTCTCTCACACACACTCTCTCCCTCTCTCTTCCACACACCGCGCTCATCGCTAGGTTCTGGGTGCCTTTGTCCTCAAGGACGTGAGCTTCACCACCGTCGTGGGCAAGCGCAAGGATCAATTCGCTTTCATCCAAAAGGATGATACGCTCAACCTTATCAATTGCCACGTCTTCCTCTGTGCGGGCGAGCGCGCATTTGACATTGCGACCGCCGTCAATGAGGCCTTCAAAGCCTTTGCCGAGGAACAGAAAAAGACGGGAGGCAATCCATTTATGCCCTATGGAGAGCGAGAGGCGCCACCGGATCACCTCTTTCACAAGCAGGTGCATCGCGTTGATCTCATCCCGCGCAAGGCCATCGGTGCCGGTCAATTTGGTCAGGTCTATCTCGCGGACCAAATTGTCAAGGACGGCGACGGCAAGGATGGTGGCAACCGTGTCAGTCGGGCCGTCAAGATGCTTCGTGGTGGTGCCTCCGCCGAGGATAAGACTGACTTTGAGTCCGAGGCCACCGTGATGCTTGAACTTGAGCATGAAAACCTGGTTCAGCTCATCGGTGTTTCCATGCAGCAGCGCCCTTGGCTCATGGTTCTCGAGTATCTGCAGTACGGTGATTTGCGCAACGTCCTCAAGGGTTGCGCCAGTAAAAACATTGAGCTCCAGTACGAGGACCAGCTCAACTTTGCCGTCCAAATTGCCAAGGGTATGGCTTACATCGCGGCCCAGGGCATGGTGCACATGGACCTTGCCGCGCGCAATTGCCTCGTCGCCGAAAACAATCTGGTGAAGGTGGCCGACTTTGGTCTCACACGCAAGATTCCTGAGGGCCAGGACTATTGGCAATCCAAGACGGTGATGAAGCTCCCCGTCAAATGGTGCGCCATTGAAGCCCTCGATGACCGCATTTTCTCCGAAAAATCAGATGTTTGGGTAGGTGTCACCGTTTTTCCCGCATCTGATGTTGATTCATCCACGACATCTCGACCTTGCGCTCCTGTCTGAACAGCCGTTGCCCTTGACTTCTTGTGGTTCCTGATTTTCACGTCATTTAGGCCTATGGTGTGGTTATGTGGGAAATCTCCAGCTACGGCGCCATGCCCTACGAAGACGTCAAGACGCAGGAGGTGCAGCGCCGTGTGCGTGAAGGATTGCGCTTGGAGCCCGTGCCCAATACAAACCCAGATTACTTTGCCCTTGCCAAGTCATGCTGGCGCCTCGACCGCCATGAGCGCCCATCCTTTGCCAACATGGCACAGGAATTGCAAACGTATCTGCGGAACAACAATGCCGCCGCCGTTCGTGACATCGGTGCAGCCCTCAAGAGCACGTCATGATCCTTCAAAGCCGCCGTTTCCCTTGATTAGAGTCCCAAGTGGCGATGCGAGTTATTGTCGTCCAAGTCGCTGCAGATTATGTTTCTTAAGCAGTGCGATCAGTGTGTGTTGGTGAGAGGCTCTGTATGATGTATTGCACGTCTTCCGATTCGTGCCCCTTGAGACCCCCTCCCCTCGCTCTCAAACCGGCTTCCCACCCTCCTCGCTTTATCGTTTCTTTGCTTCCTTCTGTGGTCCCCTTGCCTCTGTTACTCTTTTACGCCTTTATGCCCTTTTTGCTTCTGTTGAGTTTGTCAATATCGCCGGAGCATGCTCCTCTCAGTTTAGAATTTTGTTGACGTTGACGGGCCACCTCTTTGTTCAAACGACTGTGTCAAAATGGTTCAGTTGAGCGTGAGTGGGCGACAGTTACTCTCTTCGATTATGGCATTTACCAAGTGCGCTTTGCACAACTGTTGTCATTACGATTAGGCCAATTTAGTCGGAGCTATCCTCTTTGTCGATGGTCGGCCCGAAGGCCCGGGTGCTGCATCACTCTGCTTCGCTCGTTTTGCTCCAGGAACGGCATGTTCTTCCAACCACTGCACTTGTTGCATGACCTATCGGCACAAAGACAGGAAAAAGTAGACTAAATAAAAGGCTGGCAGCACACTCTTTCCACCCTTGGCTGTCCCCGCTCATCTTTGTTTTCCCTCAGTCCGATTCCGACTCTTAATTTCGGACTCTGATTCTGACTCTTCACATTCTTTTCGGTGCACACACGAAGCGTGTTTAACACACACGCACACACAGCGGAAAAGCCGTACCTCGTCCAGCGTATGCGCATTGAGCACGGGGTGCCTGTGAAACAATTGCTCGAGCACTTGGCGGCTTCTAGAGCGCTCGCCTGCCTGCTGAATGTGCTCCAGCAAAACGCGATTGGCCTCTCTATTTCGCGGAACGGGCCAGAGAAGAGCAGGGCATCACACAACACATTGACACAACAAAACAAAGGGGTGAGACTGCAGGGGATCAGCAACGCCGGTGCTTCCAATGTTCACGTGCCGACGACCGTACCGACTGAAGCTGGCTGAAGGCATATTGGTAGCGGGGTGGGAGGAAGAGATGAGGGTGGGTTCCAAACGACGTTTGGGCTGGCGGGGCCGCGGCGGGCTCGTTGCCCCCACCTCCGAGGTCAATGGCCAGCTGGCCGTGGCTTCACTTGAGGCAGACGCCGCGACTAGTGCTGCCGAGGAACCCGGATCGCGACTCGATGCAAACCGGCTAGCCTTCTCCTCCTCTCCATCAGCTCCAATGTGGGCAAAGTAGCGGTCAATCGTATGTTCGACATGCTTGTGGCTTCCTGCTGCAAACAATTCCCGATCGTGATGTTTCAGACCACCTGCCGCAAGGGCCATGAGCGATTCAGCGCCCGTCATGTCAATACTAGCATCAAAGTTTGAGCCGGTTCCTCCAGTTCCGGGAAGTGGTCGTGGGTAAAGCGAGGCGTTGAGCGTGGAAGCCTCGTCCAAGCGCGCTTTCAGAGCCCTTGGCTGCAATCGCTGTGCCGGTTCGGCCAGGGGAGGCGACTTGTTGGACACGGGCGAGGACTCATCAACCACATGGAAGGCTGGCGATGGATGTTCGACGGGCGAAGTAGGGCGATGTGACTTTGGCGTGGAGGGCTCAAATCGCAGCTGAAGTGTGTCACTTGTGGGCTCTGGACTCATGGGGCGCAGGCCACCTATGGATCGACTATTTGTGTGTGAAGCTGCGACGAGAAGGTCGATTCCTGCAGTTCGAAGGCCTTCTCCAAGCGCGGGTGGGGTGCCACTCTCGCGACGCGCACTTGCAAAGCTGGTGGCTTGACGTCGGGGCAAAGGGTCAGATGTTGCATGTCGACGAGGGACGGCTGGGCGGTGCGGTGGTGTTGTCAACCCAAAGCTGGGTTCCGCATCGAAAAGCGGGGGCAACTGATCAGGCAGGGCCGGTTCGTGGCTAGCGGCGGACAAAGCCGCGTGCTTGGCTGGCGGAGGCAAAGCGGAGCTATGCCGCCTTTTGTCAACCCGTGATGCCTCTGTTGCAACCAAATGAGCGTCAACCATCGCACGCGGCGCTTGGTGAGCAATGACAGAAGCCGGGCGCGATGGGGTAACGCGGCTGGTTGGAGAAGGGGATGCTGTGTTTGAAGATCTGCGGTGGCCAGGGCGAGGCGATGGCACGCTCAGGGGTTGGTTCGAGGTGCGCTGCTGACGCTCCAAAAAGCTCTGGCGCAGAGCCTGTGCAGCACGATCCTCAGCAGGTCCAAAAAGTTGGCGTTGCTTTAGCTGCTGTTTAGTAAACGGTTCCAGTTGTGTTTTGTAATTGACGTATTCGTGATCTTGACGGTCCGACTCAAAGCCATGTAGGTACTGACTGAGCCACTCTGCGTAAGGTGTACCTTTTAACGCGGCATGGAGGGGGTCATAGATGCACACATCCAGACCTGGGCGCCGAGGCCCCGCACGGAGTGTGCTGCGTGTTACGTCCTTGAGATCTCGCGCACGCTGACACCCACGTAAGGCAGCCTGGCAATCGCCGTTGTTTTGGATAAGCTGGATGGTGAAAAGCAAAAGCTCTTCCGGAGGCATGCGACGGGTGCTTTGATGTGCAAGGCGGCGACGGCGGTACATCAACTCTGGGAAGTTGAGGAGGCCCTCGAGCTCGACCATAACGGTCGTGACCAAACGATCTTGAACGATACGGCGGCGGCTCAACTCGCGCGCTACCTCACCACAGGCTTGGACGTCCGGCATTAACACGGCAACACGTGGTACAGCTTGCAAGGCGGGAATACTAAAAAGGCTGCGACCAAGCTGCACCAACGTTGGTGGGGCTTGATGGAAGGTCGAGGCAAGCCGCGCGAGTAGGCCAGCTGCAGCATCTAGTTGGGGCTGCTGACGGTGGCCATGGATGCTGGCACACAGGGCACATTGCTGGATGATGAGCATGAGAGTAGCTTCGAGTTGGGCTTTGAGTTGGCGCAGCTGCTCGCTGCTCACAGCACTTTGCCCCATCGGGCCATGATATTGTGTCCGTTTGAGAGCATCTCGATGCTCCTCAACCAATACGTTTATATTGGGCGCGCGCAGGGCCGGTGGTCTGTCCCGGTGGTGACGTTGGCTTCGTGGACCCGTGCGCGGCGCGGCGCTAGCCGTGCTCGGCGGGCACGGACTATTGTCCAAGTCTTCCACGTTCTCTAACCCCATCTCCAAACCTAGAAGACCCAGGTCCCAGTTGTTGACGGTGAACATGTTGAGGCTATCACGTGCAAGTGAGCGCTGCTCTTTGCGAGAGACCGTGTGTCGTGATTCCCGGCCCAGGCCACCGCGCTGCAGCTCTTGCATGGCATTGAAATCTTCATCATCGTCTGGTAGATCAGCGCCGGAAGTGAGATTTTGATACAGCTGGTCGGGCTCCAGCAGTCCTTCAAGGAGGCTCTGCGGGAGAGGACCAGGTCCCAGCACCTTTTCAAATTCCGTCAAGGGAACATCTGTCAGGTTGAGTTGCGAGCGGGTGCGTAGTGACACATTATCAGGGGTAGAGGTGTGGTCAGGAAACGGGTATGCCAAGTGGTTGTCTGATGCCAGGGTCATGGTTTTGGCGCAGCGCGATCGCTCAGCCTCAGCGCGAGCATCATCCAAGGCCAGTTGCATTTCCTGTTGTTGACGATGTTGCTGCTGTTGCTGTTGTTCCAAAGACGCTCGTTGTTCACGGATGATGGCCTCTTGCTTCTGAATGACAGCTTGTTGCTCTCGGTGTTGCTGCTCCAACGCTGCCTGCTGATTTTGCTGTTCACCCTGACGCTGTCCAGACGAGGCCTGCTGGTGTGGTTGCTCAACGGCATTGTCTTTGAGCGCAGCCTGCGTAGGCGGCACGGGTACTGTCATGACAGGGTGCTGTCGCAAGTACGCAATGCCATCGTCTTCCTCCTCCTCATCCTCCTCATCCTCATCCTCATCGTCTTCATCATCATTGTCATCATCATCCGTGGTTTCTGGCTGGTTCTCGCCATCCCCTCCTTCTTCGGCCATGGAAATCGCCCGAGACCCTTGGGAGCCTGAGATTTCAAGGGTGGGGTGGGTGCAGACACGGGCATGTCAGGGGCGGCGGTTGCTTCGGAGGTTTTGAGACGCGTCAAATGTGCTTGCGATATACGCGAAGACGACATGAACATACCTGTGTGACTTTCGAACTCGCTATCACTCGTCACATCTGAAGACACACGTGTTGGGTCAAAGTCTTCATCGTCGTCATCAAGTTCGTCATCCAGCTCGAGATTCATCAGGCCACCCTGACCATTATCGTAGCGCGAGAGAACGGCATTGACAACATCTTCGGTGCGCTTCTCAGCCGCGATCGTGGCAGGCGCCACGAAGCTATTCGCCGTGGACAGGGGGATAGCCTCGCGGCTCTCAGAGCTCGCTGTGCTGACACGGGAGTTGCGCGCTAATGTGTTTTCAGCAGCGCGTCGACCTGTGTCAGAGGCTACCGCGGCCTTTGATGCTTGGGTGTTCTCATGGTGAGTCGAGGCGATGTTTTGCTGACGGCCCGCCACCTGCGATTCGGGGGCAGAATGCCCCTCGCGGCTGGTGTCATGGGCCACATTGGCATCGCCTGGCCCGGACTTTGCATCAACCTCATCAGGATAGCTGGCATTGCCACGGTCAGCGTCTTTGCTGCCCTTTTGCACATGGCCCTTCCTTGCGTCGCGTTCTTCATCAACGTCATCATCATCACCATCTTGGTCGTCTTGAGCCTCGTCGTCATCGTCATCGTCTTCGTCATCGTCTTCATCGTCTTCATCGTCTTCATCGTCTTCGTCGTCTTGATCCCAATCTTCATCCACCTCAAATGCATCATCGCTTTCATCTTCCACATCGTCATCGGCAAGACTGGCGAGCTGGGCCAGGGTGCTGTTGATGGGCAGCGGTTGGGAGTGGGGTGCCGAGCCTCCTGTGCGACTCATGTATTTGCTCCGGGTACAGACTTGGTGGGGTACATCTGTGATCAGATTGAACACAGAGCGTGGGGAAAGACGACTGTGAGCCTTAGCCACGCAGCTGAGGGCCACCACAAAAGCTGAAGGAGTTACCTGGTAGGCCACGGGCGATATGAAGAAGGTGTTGCTGGAATTGTTCGTTGCGACTGAGTAGTGTAGTTAGCGTGTTGAGGTTACGCTTGGACATGATCTGCGACATGATGAGGGACACCAGCACGGGTTGTGGTGAGACCTGGGTGGCAGGCAAACAGGGGCTGGGAATCGAGCTACAAAAAGGACGCACAGGTTGGTCTGTTGAGTGATCATTGCTGGTGGCTGCGATTGACGCTGCTGCCTGGGTTTGTGGCTGCGGCATGGCGCACGGCTCTGATGTGAGGCATGCACCATGTTGTTGCAAAGGCTGGGTGCCTTGGGTGCCTGGATCCTCATCCGAATGGTCGGGAGCTTGCGTGGAATGGGCTGGCGCCAGAGGCTGCGTTGTGTTGGAAGCATTACGCGCCGGCGTGGGGTGGCCGGCTGCCTGTGCGCTTGCGGGACCGGGTGCCTTGACTGGGTCAGAGCCCGTGTGTTCGGGGCCGGGAGTGGTGCTCATGCTTTCCGTGTGGTCGCTCATGGTCGTGGCCGGTGGAGTTGTGGCGTTGGGGGTGCCGGCACTGGGGCCATCAGCTATGAAATTGCAGTGGTCCAAGTGAGCGCGAAGAGCTGCGAGAGTTCAGAGTGGTGAGTGAGCTTGCGGTGATGAAAAGACAACGATACCTGAGGGAGACGGCGTTGCTTTGCTTTGCGCGCAGACCTGTTGCGTTCAGGGAAAAATCGCATGGGGTATCAGAATAAATATGCGGCGCATGGCCGGGTGAGCAAGACTGGAGTCAAGTCACAAAAAACGTTACCGTCTTGTTTGAGCTGCGGTGGCTTGGGCTTGGGCTTGAGCTGGGACTCGGCTGTGGGCTGGCAGTCGCCAAAGGCCCTGAGACCACGCCCGCCATGACCCTCCTCGCCCCGGTCACGGGGCGTGCCGGCACACACGGGAAGCAAATTGCAGGGGAGAAGGCGGAACGTAATCTGCTTGACACGGCTTGCTCAGGTAGTCGTCAGCGCACGTTCGCCACGTGCGTAGGTGTGTGTGTGTGTGTACGTGCGTGCGAGTGTGGTTTACCAGGAAATGGGAAGACAGCCAGATAGAGGCACGGCTAGGGATATACAACAGATCGCGACCTCGTTTGCGCGCCCCCTTCCCATTCAAAAGAACCAGTTCGCGCGCCGAAAAGAGAGAGAGAGAAGAGAGAGAGCGAGAAGAGAAGAGAGAGAGAGAGAGAGAGAGAGAGAGAGAGAGAGAGAGAGACAGAGAGAGAGACAGAGAGAGAGACAGAGAGAGAGAGACAGAGACAGAGAGACAGAGAGACAGAGAGACAGAGAGACAGAGAGACAGAGAGACAGAGAGAGAGAGAGACAGAGAGACAGAGACGAGAGAGAGACAGAGAGACAGAGAGACAGAGAGAGAGACAGAGAGAGACAGAGTTTTGAGAGAGGGAGAGGGAGGCTATGTGGATACGTTGTAACGGTTATAGAGAAAGCGCGCGCCAAAAACAACGCGTTCCCGCCCCAACGGTCACGTCTCACTATATCACACTACACACTGCAGACGAACTCAGTGACCTGCATCCCTAACATTGTCAGAATGTCAGCTTTTCATTTGGGTGCAGTCATTCTTCTTGCTGTGTGTTGAACTGCACGTGTTGCACGCCTCTTGCTCTCTCTCTGATTTTTTTTTTTTTTTTTGCGCGCGCTGGGGGGATCAGGTCGGACCATCAGTGCCGACGGGACGAGAGCAAAGACGCGGTGTGAACGACTCGGCAGGATGCCAGCAGATACGGCTTCGGTGCTGGCCGGTGGCCAATGCCCAGTGATTCACAAAAGCAAGGATGCCGAGGTGAGTTGGCGTGTGAATTCATTGATAGCTGCTCGACGTCATGCTAGCACGCTCGTGCCACGTCGGTTCGGGTCCGGTGTCTTTTGCTAATGACGGTGTTGCTTCGTCTCTGCAGGGCGCCAAGTTGCCCGAGGCCAAGCCTGAGGGCCTGTTGGGTGGCAGCAAATGCCCCGTGATTCATAAGCAGCCCTCGCAGCAGTCTCGTGAAGAGCCCCCAGACACGCCAGACCGCCCCCTCGAGCTGGGCACACACACCTCGGCCACAGTGCGCCGAGTCGAGTCAAATAACCCGTTGGAGGTGGTGCCCGCCAGCGAAATTCCCGCTGCTGGTCGCGGCAACTCGGATGACGGCCAGTCCTGGCTCAACCCTTCAGCCAATCAGCTCTTCCGCGCGCTTCGACGCAAGGACAAGCCCATCGAGGTTGAGGATGCCCTCGCCGTCGCCGCTGTGCACGAGCTGTACGTTCCAAGCATGCCCATGCCCCTCATTGCCCACGCATGCATGCCTGTTTGTGATGAGCACCTCTCGTCGTTTGACCATGCCTAGGGTTACCGATTGGTCCTGGAAGGGCGTTATGGAATATGAAAACATGCACGAACGGTCTGTGCACCTTGGACTCCGCCCGCCCACGCGCGTGTACGACTTGGAATTTTCCAATCCGCGTGCTTCTCATTGCTTTCTTAACTTGGCCGCACTTGTAGCGCTTGTCCCAACCCGACTCTGGCACGATTTGAGGGCAAGGATGGCATCTATTCAATCAAGGCCCGCATCATGTCCGCCATTTTTGGGTGTGTCAGCTATGCCACAGGACACACAGCTCTTTCGATGACTTTCCGTCGACTTCAGACCCAGACCATCGCTCAGCTTATGCCATCTATCTTTGCTCATCTCGCCCCCCTTCCCCCTCTTGACGTTCTTCTCCTGTCGGTATATAGCGTGCGCCCCTTTGACCGTCATGACTGGACCGTTGATCGGTGCGGCAAAGAGGTACGCTACATCATTGACTATTATGCCGTCGACGATGGCATGGGTGATACAGACTACTTTGTGGATGCGCGGTACGTACCTTTGTGACGGTGGGCCAACGTGGATCTCGCCTTTGCCCTGGCCCTTCGATGTTGTGCTCTTTTAAAAGCCAGCAAGAACTTTTTTTTCCTCACGAGTATGCATTTTTTGATCGCAGTCCGGCTGGCCTTCAAGGCGTACCTGACCGCATGCGTCTGGCCTTTAGCAAGTGGCAAGCAGGCGAACGTTGGTGGTGGTAGTGACATCCCGATACTGAATTTGAAATTTACATTCGTCCAAATCAAACTTTCATTTTTTTTATTTCTCCTTTTTTTCTCCGTCATCCCGAGAATGAAGCTGTCAGCTTGCCAACACCGAGACGCGCGCCTTGAGCTACGGCACAGTTGTATATGCGGATTTGTTCGGAAGCTTTGTGACTGTGAAGCTTGATCATACTTGTTTGTTGCTTTTGTTTGGGTGGCGGTCGACGTCTGTGCAAGTGCTGGCGCCGAAGAAACACTGCCAAGACTTTGCTTCAACTTCAAAATTTTCATACGATTCTTTTGACATGGACATACGGATACGTAAAGCGCTTCCACGCGCAACACGACACGATAAACACGAATGCAGGTCGGCGTGAGGGTTCGCCAAACTTGGGGCGCCTGGCGCCGTATCCTGCTTATTCGTAGCCACTGCAATTGCAAACCAGGTGAGTCAGGAGGCGTCCCATCAAGCAAGACTACCGGAAGCCGCCTGCCATTGATGATGACAAGCTTGACGTACCGAACCATGGTAGCGATGGACCAGTCCGTTTCCATGGCCTTGGGCTCAAACATTTCCACACCTGCCGCAGTGATGACTGCAACTTCATACTGTAACCACCACAGAGCAGACGCACGCCCATTAGCTGGAGATCATCATCATGGGCCCCCCGTGTCAAGGCCACCAGGCAAGCACGAGTCATGGACACAACAGAGACAGGGCACCCCCGAGCACACCCAAGCCAATTCGATTTGAAGATTATTTCCTTGAGCACCGGGCCCAAGCGAGAAAACGTACTCGGTTGAGCGAGCGGGCGTCGCGGTAGAAAAGGACCTTGCAGCACTTTTCAATTTCGGCCACGGCCTGGTCACGGGTCAAGGGGCCATCGTTGCTCTCAAGCGCATTGCGCAGCAGCGGCAGGGCAATGTAGGCACCATAGCCAGTGGCAATCGTGTCCTCGGTAAAGGCCACGCCGACCTTGTCCGTGGTGCCCAGGAAGGGCTCGCCGTCCTGAACACCGGCCACGACAAACGAGTTCCACAGAGGATTCATGCGGGACCGCCTGTTGTACAAAACGCGCGTCAAGAAGGAGAAGATGGCTTTGGGCTTGATGGTGTGTTCATCGTCATACTCGCGGTTCTCAACCCTGCACCATCAAAAGCACCGGCCAACGGGGAAAGAAGGGAGGAAATTTACAACAAAAGTGCATGCGACAGTGGGAACGGAACGTGATGAGACAGCCAGAAGACCAAGATTTAACAGAGCGCTTGGAAACGGCCAGTGGGTCCGGCCGGGCAAGTGCCTGCATTGCACGAGGAAAGAGGGGTGCGGGTCGATGCTACGCACTCGAGTTCGTCCAGGGTGTCCTTCATGGAGTGAAAGTCGGCCACGTCGCCCGAAGCGCCCACGACTGTCTGGTTGCCGACAGACACCAGGCGGCGAATGTCGCGGAAACGAGCCAGGGACCCGTACGAGCCTATTCCAGACCAGACCAGACGAGACGCAGTCCAAGTGCAAAGGAAAGGGGGACGAGTGTCGTGAGGCCCAGGTGCGCGCGAGACAAGCGCCTGTTGTTGCAACTGATGTTCCCACATTCTCACACTGACTCTCAACACTCATCATAGCGAGGGGCCGGAAATATGAGGAGCAACGTACCGAGGGTATCAGCAGCAATGACCACGCCACCGTCAAACTTGATGGCAAGGACGGATGTACCCGTGACGATGGGGTTCCTGCTCGGCGCCGCCATTTTGGGCGAGTCGATTTATACCATCACCAATCAACACGTCAGCTTACACAAAAAAGTAAAGAGAAAGCAAAAAAAAAAAAAAAACTGTGCCCCGGAAGTGACCTACGTGGTGTGCTGGCGAGGGTCAGCGGGCGCAGCTGCCATCTTTGCCTCTCCCATGGGATAAAACCGACCCGGTGCCGGTCCATTGGACCAGAGAGGACCGGGCTGGAACGCTGCCGAATCGTCGCGGAAGCTCATCTTGACCGTCTCTGTGTGTGTATGTGTGTGTGTGTGTGTGTGTGAGTGTTCAGTGGTGTCGTCTCAAACGCATTTACGTCAGAGAGAAGAAAAATAAAAGGGGGAGCTGTGAGTGAGAGAGAGTCAGTGGAACCGAAACCGTTTAGAGAAGGAGGCATGTCCGATATTACAAAACGTCAGATTCAAGCCAAAATGCCATAGCGCAAAGAGAAATGACCTCAGCACCAAGCGCACTCAGAGAGACACTTGGGATACCAGCTACGGAACGCCAATGAAGTATTCACAACAGCAGTTGTACAAGGGTTTTATCACAAAAGACGAAAGCAGTGAACGTCACGCTTTCTTGGCGCCTCCACCCGTTGTCAGACATTTCGTGGTTCCACCCGCGTGCTCGAGTTTTTTTTTTATTTTTTCTTGTGTCCGGCCATTGTCGCGGTTCGACGGGGATCAACGACACGGGGGACCAAGGCTACGGACGGGACCGACGACTGCGGAGTGAAGGACAACGGTTGAACATGGCCGATGAATTTGAAGACGTGGATGAGGTCCTCGAGGCTGGGCCTCGTGTGATCAGCTTGGGACAGGAGACGGCCGCGGCCGAGGCGGCCGACTCGAGCTTGCCCCCAAGCGCAGCCCCTGCTGGCCCGCGCAGCGTCACATGGGCCGTTGCTGAGGCCTCGGCCCCACAGTCTGAGCAACCTGCGCCGCCCACTGATGAAGAGGCCTTTCCCTCGCTCTCCGGTGGGCCTGGCAGCAAGATGCCGGCGTCTACCCCGGCGTCTACCTCTGCGCCCGCGTGGCCCGCACGCACAGCCGCAGCCTCTGCATCGGTGACCAAGACCGCGGCGACCCGCCCAGCCGCATCGGCCAAAGCAACAGAGGGAACCCCAACATCCTCTTTGTCCTCCAAACAGGAGAAGAAGGCCGAGCCAGCTCGCCCTGTCATCAAGCCGAGCCGTACCGTTGAAACAGAGCGCGAGGCCTCGCACATTGCCGACATCCTCGTTGTTGATTCCGCAGGTTTTATCCGCAACGCGCCCTTGCAGCAACTGGCGGCCACCATCATCACCCTTCCTGATGTCGTAGCCGAGATCCGTGACGAAGCTACACGCCAGCGTCTAGCCGTTCTGCCCT